AGGAATACTTGGAGGAATCCTCAGAGGCTGTCAGCAGTCAAAGGAATCCATGGAAGGAACTTCAGAGGCTGGTACTAGTCAAAGGAACCCTTAGAGGAAACCTCAGAGGCTAGCACCTGTCAAAGGAATCCTTAAGGAATCCTTGGAGGCTGACACCGGTCAAAGGAATCCTTAAGGAATCCTTGGAGGCTGGCACCGGTCAAAGGACTCCTTAAGGAATCTACGGAGGCTGACACCAGTCAAAGAAATTTTTGGAGGACTCCACAGAGGCTCGCACTAATCAATGGAACTCTGTAGGCTGGCACTTGGCAATGGAATCCTAAAATAATCCTTAGAGGCTGGCAGTGTTTAAAAGAATTCTTGAAACTGGCAGCTTCAGAGGAATCTTTAAAGGCTAACTGCATTCAGAGCACTCATCAGAGTGAAAAGAAAAAAAGGGTCCATTCCTGCCTACAGACTATTGACCGGAGAAACTGATCAGGTCTCATACTGTGAAAAATCACATCAGGTGTGTGGTGGTACCAGTTCTCGGGTCTCCTTGGTGTAGCTGAAGGTGAACGGGACTTTAGGTCTGATGTTGGCTGCTCGGCGTTTGTTGTTCATCGAGTTAATCAACAAGTTGATGAGGACATGGTCGTTCTTCAGCAGCGTCACGTTGCAGTCCCGGCGGTCAAATGTCACATTAGTCTTAAGGGGGCCAATGTTGGCGTGGATCTGACCCGGATAACCAGGGACACTACCCTGGAGAAAAAAAAGAAGAAGACGTACAGGTCTGGAAATGTTAGGGTCTAACTAGAACCTCTCAGATCAGAAAGCACAACATCCTGACCAGATGGACATGGGTCATAAGGACACATCTACCTTCTCAATACGGTTTAGGTTAATTGTCATATTCAGATCAACACAGGGTCAACAATGTAGGGGTGCACCGATTGCAGTTTTCTGGCCGATCATCAATTTCTAAAAAGTCTGACCGGCCGATTCCGATTTTGTTTTATAAGCAACACTGTCAGGTGTTATAAGGTCACAATGCACCTTCAATTTTCCAATCTTATTTTATTGAAAAACATACCCTTGAACAATATCCTAGAATCAATACAAAATTGTTTTAACTGGCCACAAGGTAGTACTCTGAAATATAAATGAAATTCAGACAATTGTTGAAAAAAAATAATTTTTTTTAAATCGGTAAAATTAGTTTCTCGTGCCGATTTCCGATTTCCCAAAATTAAGGAAATTGGGGCCGATAAATCGGTACACCCCTACAACAATGCAATGAAATGGTGGACAAGAAAAAATGTCTCGAATTGCCAAATAAACAACAAGAAATAGCAAAGCATGCAACAAAAAATACAAGGTGCCAAAAGTGAAAAAGAAATACATCTACAGCAGCATAGTCCTATTAGAAAAGTGGTTCTGTTAGCAGTGAGGTTCTCTTAGCAACATGGTCCCATTAGCACCATGGTTCTGTTATCAGTGAGGTTATGCTATCAGTGAAGTTCTTTTAGCAGCATGGTGCCATTAGCAGTGTGGTTAAAGTGTTAGTGAAGTTAAATTCAAAAAGCAGTCAGCTCCTAGGGGTGCAGAAAAAACATTTTTTATTTAAGAATCTAGATTCCTAGTCCTGGCAATTCTGAATCAATTCTAAAGGCCCATAAATCGATTTTAACATGTGTTTAAAAAAAATTTTCCCCGCTCCTACTCTTGAGTGTACTGCATATCGCATTATGTGTCCACTCAGCCACCGAAGAATTTTGGCTGTGTAGGCCACCATACAGCAAGCTAGTTAGCCAGCTCCCTTTCTCTGAATGGAGTCTGCTAGCATGGAGGAGGGGGACAGCACGATTCAACTTGCACCTTCGTCTTTAAAAATCATTTCAGATCCTACAATGTTCCGGGAGAAGACAGAGCTTAACAAGAGCATGGTTGTTTATAAGAAGCGTAAATAAAATTGTGCTACAGTATTTTGGAAATACGACAAAATGCGCAGAAGATGAAAGCGAAGCAGTCAACCAGCAAACTCTGCAACAAACTTCCAGGCTTCCCCAAAGGCTGTGAAGATTTCACTCGCCATCTCCTGCTATATCACAAAGGATTCAAGAGCAAACAGCTCAGTCATAGGTGAGGGGTTAGGTTTGGACCCAATGTACGTTACTCCTTCATGTTGCTTTTTACTGATAAACCTGCGCCACAATTCCAAAATGAAACAAAAATATAGTGGGAGAAGCTCTGATGCAGCTGCACCCCAAAGGTAACTGTTTTTTCTCATATTATACTAAAACTTATACAGACAAGTTGTACAACAAACAATGTAATTTGTCTTTTTAACAGGTTGAAGAGGCCAGATGAGACAAATCACCTGGAGCCAGTTCTAAATGATACAGTTAATGGTTTATAAAGTACAGTTCAGAAAAGTTTCTGTGCAGACTTGCACAGGTTTTGAAATTTTGTTAAAGATTTACCAAATATGAATCAGTACAGGTCCTTCTCAAAAAATTAGCATATTTTGATAATGGTCATTATTTTCCATAATGTAATGATAAAAATGAAACTTTCATATATTTCAGATTCATTGCACACCAACTGAAATATTTCAGGTCTTTAATTGTTTTAATACTGATGATTATGGCATACAGCTCATGAAAACCCAAAATGCCTGTCCCAAAAAATTAGCATATCATGAAAAGGTTCTCTAAACAAGCTATTAACCTAACCATCTGAATCAACGACGTAACTCTAAACACCTGCAAAAGATTCCTGAGGTTTTTAAAAACTCCCAGCCTTGTTAATTACTCAAAACCGCAATCATGGGTAAGACTGCCGACCTGACTGCTGTCCAGAAGGCCATCATCGACACCCTCAAGCAAGAGGGTAAGACACAGAAAGAAATTGCTGAACGAATAGGCTGTTCCCAGAGTGCTGTATCAAGGCACCTTCGTGCGAAGTCTGTGGGAAGGGAAAAGTGTGGCAGAAAACGCTGCACAACGAGAAGAGGTGACCGGACCCTGAGGAGGATTGTGGAGAAGGGCCGATTCCAGACCTTGGGGGACCTGCGGAAGCAGTGGACTGAGTCTGGAGTAGAAACATCCAGAGCCACCGTGCACAGGCGTGTGCAGGAAATGGGCTACAGGTGCCGCATTCCCCAGGTCAAGCCACTTTTAAACCAGAAACAGCGGCAGAAGCGCCTGACCTGGGCTACAGAGAAGCAGCACTGGACTGTGGCTGAGTGGTCCAAAGTACTTTTTTCGGATGAAAGCAAATTTTGCATGTCATTCGGAAATCAAGGTGCCAGAGTCTGGAGGAAGACTGGGGAGAAGGAAATGCCAAAATGCCAGAAGTCCAGTGTGAAGCACCCACAGTCAGTGATGGTCTGGGGTGCCATGTCATCTGCTGGTGTTGGTCCACTGTGTTTTATCAAGGGCAGGGTCCAAGCAGATAGCTATCTGGAGATTGTGGAGCACTTTCCATCTGCTGAAAAGCTTTATGGAGATGAAGATTTCATTTTTCAGCACGACCTGGCACCTGCTCACAGTGCCAAAACCACTGGTAAAATGGTTTAATGACTTTAATGGTATTACTGTGCTCAATTGGCCTGCCAACTCTCCTGACCTGAACCCCATAGAGAACCTGTGGGATATTGTGAAGAGAAAGTTGAGAGACGCAAGAACCAACACTCTGGACGAGCTTAAGGCCGCTATCGAAGCATCCTGGGCCTCCATAACACCTCAGCAGTGCCACAGGCTGATTGCCTCCATGCCACGCCGCATTGAAGCAGTCATTCATGCAAAAGGATTCCCGACCAAATATTGAGTGAATAACTGAACATGATTTGAAGGTTGGCGTTTTTTGTATTAAAAACACTTGTCTTTCATTGGTGGGATGAAATATGTTAATTTTTTGAGACAGGCATTTTGGGTTTTCATGAGCTGTATGCCATAATCATCAGTATTAAAACAATTAAAGACCTGAAATATTTCAGTTGGTGTGCAATGAATCTGAAATATATGAAAGTTTCATTTTTATCATTACATTATGGAAAATAATGACCTTTATCACAATATGCAAATTTTTTGAGAAGGACCTGTATGGTTAAAGACTAAAGTCTGTATATTTCAGATTAGGTTAAGTTTGAAAATGTTAGTGCAATATGGTAAAAGAAAACTGTGAAGTCTATATCCTGATACATGCTCAATAATCCAGGTAGAAAAATCCAAAAAAGTTCAATCTGGTCCTCTGGACATTCAAAAAACAAGAAAACAAAGCAAAAAAAATGTAGAAACGTTTCATCTCTCATCCGAGAGACTTCCTCAGTCTGAGGTGCTGTGTTCAGCTCAGTCTCTTAAATAGCACCTTCTTAGAGTGGATCAACCAGTTTGCTGCTGACAACCAAAACCAGCTGCTCACATGGTCAAGAAGGACCATCAGCCTAACAATGGATCATTAGCACACTGATGGCTTTTTACTATTCACACAGGGCTGAGTGATACTAGCAATCACAGCATTGTAAGAGGGGGACAGTTGAACCCGGAGGCCTCCACCCCGTTTAATGATGGACGATTTCTTTTCACAAAGATGGCCTCCTTTACTCCTCTCTCAAACCATCGTTCCTCTCTGTCCAGGATGTGAACATCTTCATCCCTGAAAGAGTGACCGCTGGCCTGGAGATGAGTGTAGACCGCAGAATCCTGGCCTGATGATGTTGATCTTCTGTGCTGGTCCATCCTTTTGGCCAGTGGCTGTTTAGTTTCCCCGATGTAAGACTGATCACAGCCCTCCTGACACTGAACAGCATACACAATATTACTCTGTTTGTGCCGGGGGACTGGATCTTGTGAAGTCTATTTTATTTTGAGTTAAAGGTTAATGCACTATGGTAGGCTGAAGTGATGGACTGGAGACTTGTCCAGGTGTCCCTGCCTCTTACACAGTGATGGCTGGACATGGGCACCAGTGATACCTTTGACTCCTAAAGGAAGAAGTGGGTAAAGATGATGGATGGATTAATTATTTGTTTCTAGATATTTATTTATTTATTTAATTTATTTATTTATTTATTTCAGAAAAATCCAGGCAGCTAAGCTAACCTAATACTGGTAATTTCAGTTACAAAATTTTATGAACTCCTATATTGGTTCTTATTTTTGGTATAAATATAAAACGATGCAAAAAGATGGGATACAATAAATAACCTAAAATTATTGTTTTAAATAAAAGTTATATTTGTTTACATTGTTGTTTAATCTTTTCAGCTTGTCGGTTACATAATTTAAACATAATTTATGACTATTTCAATAGAAAAATCATTTCTGAATCGAAACATCAATTTTTAATCGAATCGTGACACCAAAAATCAGAATTGAATCGAATCACCAGACAGAGATTCACACCCTTAGTTAACTATATATATATATATATATATATATATATATATATATATATATATACATATATAAATTAGGGGTTGAACGACTACATCATTTTTAAACTCGACATTAACATAATAAAACTCGAGTAGAACTCAAGTAGTTGATGACGTCATAGGATCTCAAGATGAAAAAATAAATACAAAATAAAATCGCAAAAAAAGTCATGTATTCTTTACCAAAAAAAAAAAAAAAGACCAACAAAACATTGGGAGAGTATATTATGCTCCTACCATTTATCATACTGCAAATAAGTCACAGGAAAACCAAAACTATTAGTTATTATTATTAAGCTGCAAAAGTAAAGAAACATGCAGCACATCAAAAACGAAACTAAAAACAGTGGTGCAGACGACCACCTTTCCTTACGGTAGTTGAAGATTCATCTTTAGTGAAATATTTCCATACTATTGATGCATTTCTACCTGTTTGCCAAGACTGGGTCTGCTCTGCTCCATCCATCTGCTGGGAGGAATCCATTTGGTAGCTTCTCTAGTAGCCCGGTGCGGATCACGTGACATGACGTCACTGCGAATACTCGACGTGAAATTTAAAAACTCGATAGATGCCCTGGGAATCGACCTGTCAATTACTCAAGTAGTCTGTTAAAGCCCTAATATACATGAATGTTTCTGTTCAGTGCCCTGAGGTGACTTCTGTTGACTTGGTGCTATACAAATAAACTGAACTGAATGGGTTCTGTTAGCAGTGTGATCCTGTTAGCAGCATGATGATAATGACGACTGCGGCAATGGGCGATAAGTGTCCTCTAGAACTGGGTCCAACAGACACAGAACATCCAAGATTTCCCCGCAGAACCAAAGTGTTCCGTAGAGTTCCGACTGTGCAGGCAGATGGAGAATCATGGAGACGGCCGCCATGACAGGCCTGAGCCCGAGACTGGAAGGGGGCCGGGAACTGAATCACGATGGTACGATGGCAAGTTAGCGACACACAAAACTCCAAAAGTGTGTTGCAGTCATACCCGTAGTGTGGGCGTACAATGTAGGTGTAAGAAATGTTAAAACAAAAACAACAGGAACCAAAAAAAACAAAAAGAGTCAAAGCAGAGCTCCCGTCAGTGCTGCCATACTGCGGCACATGTGATGTCACACACGCACAATAACAGGCAGTAATTTTTCCACCTCCCAATTGTCTAGGCCACCTACGCTGACTGACGACCCACCCCCTTTGGAGCCAATCGACATGCCGGCAAATGATAGTCACATGACCATTTTCAGTTGTTCTAGCTGTAAAGACAGCCTCTCAGAGGCTCCATTTTAATTTGTCAAAAGTGCACACTTTAAACTACACACTAGTTTTGAAATTGTGTTGATAGGCCAAGTAAAACCATCCATCCATCATCTTTACCTAGGGCTGAGTACCGAACCGAGGTTCTTTTATGGCACCGACCGAACTGCATCGGTCGGTGTATGTATTGAAACGTCACTCTTCTTTCGGTGTCAAGTTTTGGAATTGGCTGTAACGTGTCACGTGGTTTCAGCACGCAGGCAGGTAAAGTACCAGACATATGACAGACTACACCCAGATTACACCCAGAGCTGTATAGAGCTGCCGTACCTAATCTATGTATAATGTATGTCTATGGTGCTGGTGACGCCCACAGACGGGTTCACGTGTGCAGCGCGTGTTGTCAAGCGGCTTCGACAACACGCGAGCAGAAAGTTGCTCCGTGTTTTTCTGCGAGGAGAGGAGGAGGACAGCAGCCTCCCCCTCCTCCTCTCACCATTAAAGTCAGCCTGTGAGAGCCTGAACGTCCTGATTCATTATCTCCACGATCGGACTCTTCATCAGAGAACTCCGAGGACGGCTCTGTGTCTGTGTTTCAGCTAGTGAGTTTACATTTGTTAGCATAACTGCAGCTTAACACGTACATCGCGGTGATTAAACTATGATCCATGTAATGCTAACTTTTTAAGATATTAGTGTGTAAATTTATTTTATGGGTATCTATGTAGCTAGCTAAAATCAGAAGCTAACTAAAGACTGACAGTAACAGATGAAGATTAGCTTGTAAAAATGTGCTCATCCATCCAGTCAGCTGCTTAAACAGTTCACTAATGTTCACTGTTTATGTTCATGTTCTCCTCACAGGAGGTTCTGACCCTGATGTGAGGAGAACAAAAGAAAAGCGAGGTGGGGGGGGGGGGGGGGGCGCACAGGACAGTCACAAACTTTGTTGTTAAAAGATTGCTGCTTTTTCTACAGTGGAGCTGCATGTTGGAGTTAAGTAAACTGTAAAGGATTTTGTTGACCATTTAAGCTTTTATCTCTCAGCCTAGATAATGTTTTTTGAGTAATAAGAACACAACCATGTTATTGTTGATGTTTTGTTCTCATGTCAGTTAGGGAGATGATCAGAGCCCTAAACCCCAGAGAACCACAGAGAAGATTCAGGCAGAGACACAGAGGTGCAGAAGTCTGCATCAACCCTAACCTCAGTGAATCCAGTGACCTGCTGGTGGGATGTGAGGGACAGTATGTCAAACTGACAACCAGGTATCTGTGTGTGCAACAAGCATCTACACCCTCAGAGTGAACATTTTCTACTGCTGGAGACACCATCAGCCAGGAGCATCTTGTTTGTGTCCAGAGAAAGCAGACATGTTGATGTTTCTAAAGAAAACTGTTCAGTAAAAAGGTCCTCAGTGTGTAGCAGTGAGCATTAGACACTGACGTCACTGGTTTGTAACTGGTCTTTTGAACTGGAAATTATTTGTTTGTTTTTATGTAAGAAAACTGCTTGGAATAGAAAAATACCAAAGTTAAAAAAAATAAAACTCACAATTTGTAATGTAATGTGTAACGTAATTTTATTCTTGTTAGAATTAATAGTAATTACAAAATTGGTACCCAAAAAAGAACCGTCCAGGAACCGACACTGAAGTGAAGGTACCGACACTGGTACCGATACAGATGTTTTTAGAAAGGTACCCAGCCCTATCTTTACCCACTTCTTCCTTTTTGGACCGCGGGGATCACTGGTGTCCATGCCCAGCTATCACTGTGCGAGAGGCGGGGGACACCCTGGACAGGTCTCCAGTCCATCACAGGGACACATAGACAAACAAGACAATCAACAATTCACTTGCTCACTCACACCTAGGGACAATTTAGTTACCAATCAGCCTAACATGCATGTTTTTGGTCTGTAGGAGGAAACCTGAGTACCCAGAGAAAACCCACGCAGCACGGAGAGAACATGCAAACAAACTTAGAGACAGGTACGTTCTGTAGTCTGAGAATTACGGTATGTTATCTCGCTCTACAAATTGATTGACAGCTGCTGCTGATTATGACTTCATAACTATTTTCATGTCTGTGATGCTGGTAAGACATTTTCATCAGTGATCAGTGTTTAAACAGTCTACAATTACCAACATGTTCACCACAGAACATCTATGTGTTGATGTTGCACATCAGTTGAATGCTGCACAATCGTTTGGAGACAGACCAGAACCAGTGGACTTACCTTGGGCTCGATGATGGGCTGGCTGACAATTCCTTCGTACAACTCTGTGTCCAGAACCATGTAGGGTTCCAGTTCATTTGTAGGTTTGACCTTGTTATTTGGTGTGTACAAGGATTCCTCTTCGTTGTTGAAGATTTTGCTCACTGGCTCATCATTGGAGGAACCGCAGAGCGTCAGGAGCAAGGGCTCCTTCACCCTCTTGATCCTGACGGCTACTTTCCCTGCCTTCAGCTGAGTATCAGCAGAAACAAAGATATAATCGTTTTCAGGACCTTTATCAGAGTTAGACACCAGGAAATGACCTCTGAAGCGATGGCGTCCTCACCGTGATCACAGTGAACTCCACTTCCTCGTTGATGTCCTCTTCTGAAAAACCAATGTCACTGAAGTTCTCTCTGGTTTCAAACGGAAGCTCTCCATGTTCATCGGACTTGATGGTGCCTTCGCTTTCTTTCAGGCTGGAAATGACGCCCTGCAGCCATCAGAACAAAAAACAGCTTAACTGAAGCACAGAAACTGGTGTGGTTATAAACTTACAGGTAAAGTGGGCAGAGCTGACCCACCTTCTCTCGCGTCTCGTTAGTCGAGCTGAAGGTGGAAGGAATTTTGGGTTTGATGTTGGTGGCTCTCCGTTTCTCAGACACAATGTCTGTAAGCAAATTGATGAGGACGTGATCGTTTTTCAGCAGCGTCACTGTGCTATCCCTCCTTTCAAACGGCAAATTGGTCCACACCTGTCCAATGGTTACGTACACCTGGCCTGGGTACTGACGCACGCCAGGCTGAACAAAAACCAGGGCAGGGTAAAGTATGACTCAGGAATTCATTTAAACAAACTAGACACCTGACTGAACTCACCTGAGGCTCTGAGATGGGCTGACTTACTACAGCTTCAAAGATGTCCGGGTCCACATTCTCAGTTCCACCTGGAGCCACTTTAACATCTGTAGCTACAGAACGAGCCTATCCAGATCAAGAACCAGAGATTTTACTAAGGCTTGAACAGGACCAAAGAGTTTACTGACAGAACCAACAACCACTCACCTTCTCTTTGCAGGCAGTGAAGTGGACTCGGACTCCAGGCGTCATGGCACTGGGGTTTCCAAAGAAGACATCGAAGCTGAAGGTGAACTTTTCAAGGTCTTCCCTTTCGATGTAGCCAAACGAGGGCTACAGAACAGAAACAGAAGATTACTAACAAGATCCAAAGATCTTTCAAACATGACATTCGTTATCAAGAAACTAGTATTCCTGCCTCCCAGAGGCTCATGAGAACATCTTGGACAAAATCCTCACCCCAATGAAGGAAATGATCCCCATGGATCTACCAGGAGGAGGCCTAGGGACACAAAAAGACCTCCCATTAAGACTCAAACATTCAGTCAAAGCATGCAAGTCAAAATATGAGTGGTAAACACCAGGAGATGAACATGTGAAGACGACTAACATCTGGACAAGCCTAAAATCTGAATCATGCTAACACTTGGAGAAGACAAGATTTGAGCCATATTAAAATTTTGGTCAGACTAACACAGAGATCAGTTTAACATCTGGACAAAACTTATACCCGAGTCAGACTAACACCTGGTCAGAATGGCATACAACTGGATGAGACTAACATCTGAGTCAGACTAACACCTGGGTCCGACTAAGGTTGTTTTCACACCTGATAGTCTGGTATACTCGGTTCAGTTGGGGACCAATATTCATAACATTTTGTTTATATTTGAGCTGGTGCGTTTGCATTCACACTGCACTGTTGAGCCAACCTGTTCGAACCAACCTGTTCCCCCACTCGCCTGTGGTGGCGCTGCACCAAGAACTACTGAAAGAAATGACAAAAACCTCTGAAGAAGACACTTCTTTTTCTGGAAATAGAAACAAAAACGGAGTGGCGTCAAATTTTAGTGGTTTTAGGATTTTTGTTTTGTTATTTTTCCAACAATGGACTCAGCATGAGTGGAAGATGAGGCAGAAGACCATGGAGAATATTGTTTTTCACACAAGGCGGCTGACGGCTCCATACGAGGTAAGAGAAATGCGTGTTTGTTTGCCCTGCGCTGTACTCCACTTCCTGCTTGTGGAACGGTGTCCGGTCTGGTTGCATTCGCACTGTATTCAAACCGTGCTAGAGTTTTCTTCTACCGAACCAAGACCTAGGTTTTTAGGTGGGCCAGAGTTCGCCTTTTTGTTCCGTGACAGAGTTAGATGGCACGTTCACACCTCACCAAACGAACCGGACTTCCTAGGCAAATGAACTAGAGTTCAGGACAACAGAGCTGGTGTGAATGCACCCTAACGTGACTCCACAGGTCTCTCTTGTAAATGAGTCCTTGAGGCTCAATGAGACTAACCTCTATAACTAAAGATTGAATGAATGAAAAAAACCTGGATAAGACTAACAGCTGAGACCGAATGAAGTGGACAAGACAAATTTAAAAAGAAGACTAACAACTACACCAGACTAACAACTGAGTCCGAATGAAGTGGACAAGACAAATTTAAAAAGAAGACTAACAACTAAACCAGACTAACATCTGAGTCAGACTATCACCTGGATCAGACTAACATTTGAGTCAGACTGTAGGATTTAAGAAACTTTATTAATTGGACAATCTGTTTTATAACAAGGCCGAAGCAAATATGTGTTTTTAACTTGCAATGACCTGCAGAGAATACGTTCAACAGAACTTTTTTTAAACAGGTTTTGAGATGCGTTTAAAGCTGACCTGAGAATGATTTGTTTATCTGTATCTAAAAGTACCAAGAATTTCTGGGCGCAAGATCAAAATGTTTATATAAGACCATCAGAACTGTTTTATCAACTAAGTGTTCAAAAATGTCCTGTGTCAGGCTGACCTGAGAAGAATGTGCTTACAGGAAAATCATTGTGGGCATCTGTAGTGAACTAGGCCTCTGACAACAATCTGTCTCTGAAGACCTTCATGGGACAGGAACTGTTATTTCATTGATTTGAATCCAGAAATACAAATTAGCTCATCAAAAGACTATTTAATTGTATCCTGAATTAATCAATTGAAAGAACACTCTTCCTTTTTCATTATCATTACTATTTTAGAATATCTTGATAATCAAAGTGTGTTTAGTTCATACCATTTCTAAATGTTGAAGTGAACCACTCATTTTAAATCAACTGTGAAACAGTATTAATGATTTTTAAACCTCATTAGAAGTCAGAAATCAAGTTAAATGTCTATTTACAAAGTAATTGTGCATTTTGATCTTCTGTCTGAATGAGGAGTAGTGATGTCGGTCAGAAGTCAGGGATGTCGGTCAAAAGTCAGAAAGCAAGTTATTAGAACGAAGTGTCTTGTTTTTAAACCTAGCAGACAGTAAATAACTTCAACTGGCACCTGCTTCCTCTCATCTCTCATAATATTACTCTGTCTGTACTAAACGTTCGTAAACATTCCTGCTGTCTTTTTGACTCCTAATAACCCCCTGACATCACTGAAACACCGCCCCTGCTGGTTGTTTCAACCAATCAGGAAGTACCAAGTGACCGGAAGTGAGTACTCTTTTAAAAGTCAACACTTCCTGGGACTATTCAGTCTTCTGAGTCTTCTTCAGTCTTCCTGGAGTCTTACTCAGTTTTCCTGAGTCTTTCTTGGGACTATGGAGTCTTCCTGAGAGTTCCTAAGGAACTTTCAGATTTAATCAATAGCTGATGGATTTGACCGTGAGACAAGGGTCCGTCCATCCCAGCTGGAGTCACAGCGCCTCGCTGTGAACTCACCCAGGCGTAACGCCCTACAACTTCGAAGGAAGCTTGTTCTGTTGGACGGAGTAAACCACACGACTTCTGACGATGACCAGCCACCCTGACTGGAGACGCTGAAAGGTAGCGTGCATAGGGACATCTGTACTGGAGCTGTCCATCCACGGCAAAGGTAAAGAGACGTCACGAGTTATAATGCACTAAGTGGACCGGGGGTTTGAGCTGGTGTTGAAAGAAGCGTGCTAATTCTGGTCAACAAACATACATCTTCCTTTATCCATCTTTCTTTAAACTTCTCCATTCCTTCCTTTAAACTTTTCTATTTTGCCAGTAATCTAGATGCCTTCAGAGGTGAATCAGCCTCCATCAGTAATGTTCTGTTGTCTTGTTAGTAAAGCGTGCCAAGTTTTTATTAATCAGAAACAGATCAGCAAATCAATGTGTACATGTTTTGATGTTAAATTTTGATTCTGTTAAATAAATGACCGCATTTATTCTGATGGGTCAAAGAAAAAATGGCGTGTCATGCCACTGATTAAACAATCCTCACAGTTATCTCGGTCACATGGCATTAATTTAACTCGAAAAAGAAATAATCCGTTGTTTTTAAATAATTAATATTCTTTGTGCTTGAACTAGCTTTAAGAATAATTAATTAGTAGTGAAGCTACAGGAAAGCTGTCCCCCAGCCTCACTACACATCAGAGGCTCTGGAAAACTTGACAATAACAGCTTATGTTCGTGTGCTATTTCAGAAATGTATAAATGCTCTGAAAACATCCCATCTGGAGGGGTTCTGTCTTTGAGGTCCCAGGTATTCAGCTGTTCAGCCTGAGGGCTAGCTTCAAAATAAAACCCCCATTTTGCTGTCAATAAGAACCGAGGTGTCACCTGTTTTATTTAATTATCTCAAAAGTATTCCATGTAGTATTAGCCACTACAAGACTAACACCTGGACCAGACTAATATCTGAATCAGACTAACACCTGGATGAAGTTCAAGATGGCCGCGCTCAGAGCAGTTGCAGCTTCACAGGCTCCCGGTACTATCCCAGTTTTTAGAAGTTTTGATATTGACTCTGTGCCTGACTCCGCACGATTTATGCGTGTGAACTGTAGCCGAACCGAATTGATGAGAATAGGAGTGGATTTGCCACAAAATACAGCAGAAATCAGCAAAGAACTCAAAACTATGCTCGGCAGAACGCAGATTTAAAAGTCATCTACCTGGAAGCTGCAGCAGAGGTGCTCCAACGGGCAGAAGAGGAAGTGCTGCTCCCGGCTTAAGAAGAGAGGATGCCGGGCGGGAGTTATGGTGAGGCTACGAGCTAACGCTAAAGACGGAAAACTCCTGATGCCGTCTCTCTTTCTGTCGAACGTCCGCTCGTTGGACAACAAGATGGATTTGCTTCATCTGAGAGCGGGCGCGTCAGAAGAGATGAAGTGTGCGGTGCTTTGCCTCACAGAAACATGGATTACAAGTGAAACGCCGGATACAGTCTTCCAGCTGGATGACAGACTTTTTTCCCGAGCGGACCGCTGCAGCAATCTAACGGGGAAATCATGGGAAGGCCGAGTGTGCATTTACGTGAGTAAAAGTTGGTGCATGAACTGTATCTGTTGTAAAAAGCTCATGCTCAAAGGCTTTGGAGCGGATAACAGTGAAATGTCGGCCACATTATCTACCCCACGAGTTCACAGCAACTTTCATAACAGTTGTTTACATTTCTCCGGATGCTAATGCTAATGACGCCCTGCAGGAGCTCCACGATATCTTAAGCTCTCTGCAGAACAAACACCCTGAGGCTCTTTACGTGGTAGCCTGAGACTTTAATCACCTGAATCTAAAGGACTGTCTTCCAAGCTTTTAGCAGCATGTGGGCAAACCAACATGTGGAAACAACACGCTGGACCGTGTTTACACAAACATAAAAGATGCATACAAAGTCGAACCCCGCCCCACCTAGGATTCTCTGATCACATCTCAATCTTAATGATACATGCTTACTTCCCCCCGCTGAGACGCTCCAGACCGGTACAAAAGAAAGTTAAATGTTGGATCCAGGACAGTGGCCCCATACTGTGAGATTGTTTTGATAGAACAGACTGGCAGGTTTTCAGAGAAGCTGCTGAAAATGGAGGATCTCTTGATCTGGACCAATATGCATCCTCAGTTCTGGGTTACATTAGTACATGTACTGACACCGTCTCCACTATCAGATATGTTGAAAGCTACCCAAACAGAAAACCTTGGCTGAATGCAGAGGTGCACACCCTGCTGGAAGCCAGGAACACTGCTGCTGATGTTCTTATAGAACATTACAGAACCACCTGCATCATGAAGGACCCCACTCACCCAGCACACACACTTTTTGCCCTGCTTCCCTCAGGAAGGAGGTTGAGGAGCATTAAGTGTAGAACCACTAGACTGGGGAACAGCTTCTACCCTGAGGCTGTTAGACTCATGAATCTCTAAATCTCTAACCAGAATATTCACTGTGAAAAAAAATCACATCATGTTGCTGCTGATCTGTTTCATGTTGCTGCTGATCTGTTTCATGCTGATGTGTTCATGCGTGCTCATCTGCTCACAGACTCATGCACATGTTCGTGCTGTTTTTCTACGCAATGTTTTTGCGTAGAAAAACATTGCGTTGTCTATTAGTGCTTAGTGTATTTTAGTTGATGTTTTTCTTAGTTCATATGTTAGATGTTATCACTGCTTTTCTTTTACATTTTATTGTTGGATGTAACTGAGACCCTGTGTACATAATTTCGCTCCAACACATGTACCACATGCGGTGCGAACGACAATAAATAATCTCCGACTCTGACTCTGATTAGGGCTGGGCGATATGGATCAAAAATAACATCTCAATATTTTTAAGATTCAGATTTCAGGTCTGTCTTGTAAATGAGTCCTCGAGGCTCAATGGGATTTACCTGTCTAAATAAAGGTTGAATGAATGAAAAAAAAGAATGGTACGATTTCAATATTTTTTCTTTCCATAAAGTAATAAAAATATATTTGAGTCAAAGCTTTGTCCCAATTGTCACAGAGGCATGTTTATTAACAGTGTGTATACTGTACAAAATAAATGTCTAAAAAATAAAAAATAATAATTTCTGCATAACAAAACCAAAAACACAGCTGTGCACTTGAAATTTAAACAGAACACATGCACAGCAAACATAACAAAAGGATGACTTGCTCTTTAAAAAGCCTGATTCTAATTAAGTATATTCATTCACCCTTTAATAACCTTTATAAACAAAGCTGTTAGAAAGCCCTCGTTGTTGTGTTGTTGGCTTGTTTACTGAGCTCGGTTCGGTTTGGTGACAGCTTGCTTCCTTCTGAATTTCATGGTTCCTTTGCCCTTGAGTGCACCGTGGCTGTTCTGACACTAGTGAATAAACCGGTCTGTGTAAAGTGTCGTGCTGCGTGTGTCGGACGGAGTTTGTTTCTCTCACGACATGGACAGCCTTGCTGTTTGAGCTTCTGCTTGAGCTTTACTGGTTAACAGAAGAAACACAGCAAATTTATCACCCTAAGCTGGATATGTCTCCATGTTCTTTAAGGTGAAGACAACTTCATACCTTGCTGCTCTAAACCACTTAATGTCCTGGAGAACACCAAACCTATCCTTTTTAGCAGCTTCCCAGTCTACCAAGTCATTTTCACACCTATCAGGAATTTACAGTGGCTGCACTGTGAATCAAACAGCACTCATCAACCAGAAACTGGTTGATGAGTGCTGTTTGACTGAGTCTGTTGCACCTCCACAGACTGAAGACGTCTTCTGAATAAAATACAAAACGTTTCAACAAAGACGAATCCTGACCTGACTTAACCTGGTTAGATTTATCTACCTGGATTATTGAGCAGCATCAGGAGATAAACTGTTCATGATGCTCCTGATTTAAAAAGGTTTCTTCTTGTAACATTAAAAAAAAAATGTATATTTTGAATTTGTTGTTAATCTGTTATGATTGTGGTTTTGG